AAAAAAAAAAAAAAAAAAAAAAAAAGAATTGTAATCAATACCTGGTACAATATACAAAATGTACACAAAATGGCTCATAGATCTAAATGTAAAACATAAAACTGGGCTTCCCTGGTGGCGCAGTGGTTGAGAGTCCGCCTGCTGACGCAGGGGACGCGGGTTCCTGCCCCGGTCCGGGAACATCCCACATGCCGCGGAGCGGCTGGGCCCGTGAGCCATGGCCACTGAGCCTGCACGTCCGGAGCCTGTGCTCCGCAACAGGAGAAGCCACAGCAGTCAGAGGCCCGTGTACCACAAAAAAAAAAAAATAAAAATAAAAAAAAAAGAAATAAAATAAAAAGATATATAGGAATGTTCATAGCAGATTTATTAGTAATTTTCCAAAACTAGAAGCAGCTTAAGTGTCCATCAATAAGGAAATGAAAACACAACTGTGGTAATTTCATAAAAATACCACTGATTTTTTTTTTAACTACTGATACATGCAAGAACACGGGGAACTGTCAAAACATGATGCTGAAGGAAAGAAATCTTAGAAGAGTTCCCATTGTATGACTTCATTTATATGAAGTTCTATAACAGACAAAACAAAAGCATGGTAGAAAAACTTAAAACAGTGGTTCACTTTAGGATGGTGAATAGAAGGACAGACTGGGATGGAACATGAAGGAACTCTCTGGAGTAACAGTAATATTCTACATCTGGCTAGGAGTTTAGGTTACATATTTGTATGCATTTATTAAAACTCAGTAAATGTATATGTATGTGAATGTGTATTAATATATATGCATATACATGTTAATACATATATACACACACTTCTGTGTGCCTGAGACATTATTCTTGTTAGGAATTATGTCATGACAGGATTGGTGGGGCAAGAGACCTAGAAACCAGTCCCCACTCAACCATTAATTCATTAAGTGACTTTGGGCAAATTCTTTTCTCTGGGCCTCAGTTTCCTCATATGTGAAATGAGACAATACTAGATACTCTCCAAGTTCTCTTCCAAAACAAAATTTTACAATTCTATCATAATAATGCTAGCCTTCCAGTCCAAGAACTGAACATAACAGATTTCTTTGAGTTTGAAAGATTTTAAAATTAACAGTTCCATAAATATACTATAAAAAGGAAGTATATTTTTAAATTATGGATATTTTGCCCATGCATTAAATAAAAATTTTTTGTGTACAAAATTTTCCCACATACCACAGACACTTGACCACATGATCAGAAATTATATAAATTACTTACAATTTAATATCCTCTAGAACATTTTTTGACTGTGCTGATCCAAGAAAACAAGCTGGAATGTTGGACATTCTGTAAGAAGAAAAACAAATATTCTGGAACCATGTGCACACTACAAATATCAACTTCATTTTTAAGTGAGAAAGAACAAAGAAATATAATGATGTACATCCTCTTCTTTGCAATCTCTCTTTGTAACTCACTAATTTGATAAATAAATTCCTTCAAAGGCTGTATTAGAAGACAGGCTGTTAAGGTGGGTTTCCCAAAAAGATTGCAGGCTCAGATTAAAGAAATTTAAAATTTTTCACAACTAAAAACTACACTTCCATGTATATACTTCACACTAGGCTAAAGAAGGGTAACCAAAAGAGAAAAGAATTTTGTGATATGTAGTGTAAACTGGCATAAAATTTGCTTTTTAAAAATTTTTTTCGGGGCCATCTGGCAGCCTTGGATTATAGAGAACTTAAGAAAGAAGATAAGCTCTTCCACTAAAGTGTCATTTATTACTAATAAAGACAAAGCAACACTTTTAGCAATGTGTTACTGCGAACTAGATTTTAACATACATGATAAATCAAATATTTCCTTCACAGGAAGAAAAAAAAAGGGTGGTAATGTGGCAATGAAAGCATTACTCACTCAAGCTGGAGCACCTGGTCTTCCATCAAAGAAATAAGGGGAGAGATGACAAGGCCAATCCCGCCTACATAAACAGGTGGATACTGGAAGCACAAACTCTTTCCATACCCTTAAAATAAAAATAATACATTCAGACAAATAAAACTAAATCCTTGGTACTTTGATTTCTTTTTATGATATACTTGTATGAGATGAACAGTCACTACTAATGTGCTACCTTCCTAAGAGTTAATTCATGCATAAATTTGAGCATCTACCCTCAGCTCACTCTCTTCTATATTTCACACCATTTGTATACGTATTTGTATTTTGAGAGTTTGTGGAAAGACTAAGCATGTCAAAACCTTGAAGTTTTATTTTTTAAAGGATTAGATTATTTGCTTAAGTACAACTTACCAGTTGCCATGACAACAACATTATCTCTTCTTTCTTCCAACACAGAATGAATCACTTTCCACTGAACCCTGCAGGATGAAAAGGAAAAAGCTGCTCTGTTTTACTAACAAAAAACCCAAGGGACAAGTTGAAATCCATTTAATTTTTTCACTTCCTCCAGAATTTTGTTTACATTTTTGAGCTTCAGTAAAAATATAAGAACCCTGGAACTTGAAAACAAAAGCCCCATTTGACCAACCTCCCATTCAAGCTGACTGAACAACTAGGACTTCTGTTCATATTTGTATTAAATTTTATTACATATAGCTAAAGTATAACATAAATTCCAGCTTCATCCTAGATATCCAACAGAGTCACTGATTTAAAATAAATAAGAGAAATGGTCTAGGTGAAAAGATTGACTAAGAAGGGAAATGAGGGAACTTTCTGGAGTGATTGTAATGTTCCATATTTTTAAAAGGGTTTAGGTTACATGTACACTTAAGATTTGCAAATGTTAAACACCCAAGGTTTAACCATTTCTTTGTATGTAAATTTTAGCTCAAAAGTTTAAAAATTAAATAAATAAATAAATATTTAACTATAGTTAATGACTTATATGCTAAAGTAATTAGGGGGAAGTGTAAGGATGTCTACAATTTACCTTGAGATGCATTTTAAAAATTGAATGGATTAAAAAGTGGATAGAGAGAAAATCAATATATAATAAAGCAAGTATAATAAAATGTTAATAGTGAATTAATGGTGAATATACAGGTATTCATAGTAAAAAAAAAACCACAACTCTAATGTACCTTTGAAATTTCTTTTAATAAAATGTTGAGGGAAAAATCAACTGGAAAGGTGATCTTAAATTCACTGATATGTACATTTATGTGCATTTTTCTATGTGTAGGACATAGTTTAATTTTTTTTTAAGTTTTTAAGATCAAAAGGAAAAAGCAAAAGAAATGCTTCCATGGATTAAATTTTAAATTCCCAAAACAGAAAAAATAGTCTAGAGTTTTACATTCTTATTAGTTTTATTCAACTTTACTTGTTCTTCATCTCATTTGTATTCCTCTCATTTTAATACTTATAAATGTGCCCCCTTGGATGTAAATACCTTTGAATATGTTAAAACTGATATGATTATCACTGTTTTTCAAACTATTGTCTAATGAATTTCTATTACAACATGCTTTGGACAATGAGATGCACAGACAGGCACACAGATACATATATAATAAAATACAAGTCAGCATTAAATTAATTTAATGTCTCTACCCAGAACTCTCTATAGTAAGGAAAACCATTTTCCCCACTTATAAAAACAATCTGCAGATATGAATTTTACATAAATATTACTTCAAAATAATTCTGTAGTCACTTAGAAAAAGTACAGTGTGGCATGTATAAACTATAATGAAGTTGTGCTTTTACTGTTAAATGGATGGATTATTTGCCTTTTTTTCTTTGTGAAGAAAACAGTAAATATGCAACTTAATTAACTGAGATTATACTCACGGCTTAAAACTAGAATGGCCAAAGTAGGTCTTGAGGCAATTAATTTGCTTTGCAGTAGGTCCTGGTAACCAACAGTCTTAAAATAAAATGGACATTTACATTAATATAGAAGTACACAAAGTGAGAGGGAGTAAGTTTTATTTCACTGACCTCTTTTAAAGAATATAGTGGTAGGTACCAAAGGTCACTGTTGTCTTTTAAATCCACCCAATTTTGTCCTCTGGGTACCAGTCATGACTCCAGGTAAACCCTTTGATTAATTACCTAATACTAAGGATTAGAACTTTGTTGTGATTCAGTTTGCCAGCCCCGTAAAAAAACAATGTTTTGGAATTTGCTATACTTTCAAAAACTAACATTTAGAGCCAACAAGGGCAAGCAAAATGCCAATCCAAATTTTATAATATAACCAACTTTCAATCAACAGTAAGCAGAAATCACATTACTGTCACAAATAAAATCTATAGATAAAACAAGATCTTCATTTTAATTACCATTCCACCAAATCTTTGACCAAAATTCCAACTGCATAGCAGAATGGAATGACATTAATTTTACCCCACTGATTTTCATTTTTTCCTCAGGTTGAAGGGTTCATGAGGGGCCGAGAAAGAGCAGAGCAAAGAGCCAAGATAATTCATTTCTAAACAAATGAATATTTGTCCATATTTAATACAAGAAAATATAGGAAAAAAACTTTTTTAACATTTTCATGTATTTCCATCTACAAAATTATTTTAAATTTTCCACATTTTAACATTGATGAAATCTAGCTCTAAAGAGTTCTACTCTATGAGAAGACAACCACACCTTGTCATAATGAGTACCATATCACTTAAATGACAGAAGATTCACTTAGTGGATTCTTTACTAGAGTTTGCATATACAGGATGAAAATTAGTCCATTTTGCTATTTGACACTGTGTCACTTATTTTAAGTAATAAGCTCCTGAAGGACAGACACTGTGTACCTATGCCATTTACAATAATGTTTAATATAAGTAATTAATTTATGATTTCTTATTAATGATTTTTTATGATTTTGACAAACAAAATATAAAATTTAGGATGAAAAGTTTCACATCACCATGTTCACCAAATGACACAACACTTCTATTACTTTACTCTTCTAAATAGTAACATTGTGCTTTATGAAGACCAAAGCACTAAGGGATTTAATGACAAGCTTCTAGGACCTAATTAACTACATGCCACAAAATCATTGACCTCCAAAATGTTGAAAACCTGGACCCTAAATTAAAATCAGAGATGAGTCGTTTCAAACATATTACAGTGCTTACCTTCATCAACTTCTTCCTCTTCAATAGCTTCATTCTCATCTTCATCATCTTCTTCAGAAGGAAGACCCAGATTTCTTTCCATTTCTATGCATTTTGAATGATTTGGATCTACTGTGCTACTATTTAGGTTTTCTAAAGACTGAACGTTTAAAAGAATTTTTAAAAGCAAAATCATTGACAGTGTTGTATCTTTTTCAGCAAACACAAAAGGAGTATTATTAACAGAGCCTACAATTTAGTTCAAAGCTGGCAGATGTGCAAGCGATACCACAAAAGAACATGTGTGCTCCAGTTTAAATATGTGCTCAAGAATGGTTTCTAAGGCACAAGGCCAAAGAGGAATATTGCCAGCATAAACAGGGTTCATTAATACCATATAATGAACTGCCCCCAGGGAAAGCTACCATAAATTTTGAATTTAGATTATTTAAAACATTTTTTTCTTTATCATATTTCAATGCTTCAATTCCGAAGTGGTAAATGTGGGTTTTAATGTTATTTTTGTAATGAGTTTCTCTATATCATGTGTCAGTCACATTCTTTTTGAGTAAGCGTAAGGTTTAAACTATAAGCAAACAATAAATGTGTTTTTGGAGTTGCCAAAACAACAACAAAAGACTGACATAATTTTAGGAAAGGAATATTACAAATGTGAAATAAAGTTTGTTTTCATTTTGGCTTGATATCTGATTTCCTCCCCTAAATCAAGGTTATCTATTTAACGAACCTAAGGATATTTCAAAATTGTTTCATCTGTAAAATTTCTAACTGAGAAATAACAGGAAGAATTATTAAACCACAGTTCTCATTTTCTCTTTATATTAAACCTTCCATTTAGTAAGTTTGACTTTAAAGGTTTTTTTAAAAGTGTATTCATTTCAGGCCTACAAAAGGAAAAACAAGTGATTTTCTTCCTGATTTTTTATTCAAGTCAACAAACAGACTTAGAATAGCATTTTGGAAATAAAGTTCTCTCATATGGGCACCCAGGGTGCCTTCTAAGAGGTTCAATATATAATATCAAGTTGTGAAAGTCCACAACTATCCTATAAATGCACTACTTTAACAGCACTCCTCGGAGAAACAGCTCATCACTAAAGGAATATGGTTTAGTATGTACACTCTTTTATTATTGTTAGCTAATGTTTATTATAAACACTTAGGAAATGCCAGGCTCTTTAGTAAACTCTTCAAAAGTAACACCTTAATAATAAATATGACTGTTAACTGAGTATCAAAAAGCTAAGAAACTCGCCCAAAGTCACACAGCTAATAAAGGGAGAAGCTAGAATTTGAACCCACATTTACATTCAGAATCCACATTCCTATCACTACCCACTACACTGCTTCAAAATTAAAGAATCAGAAACTTAATCTCATTTCATAAAAAGAAAAATCACATCAACCTAAGATGAGGACTAACAAGTATGCGTAATGGTGAACTTCTGTGTTTTTCTTCATTTTTCACTTTATTTAGCAAAATTTAGGCTTTTCTTTCTAATTTTCCATCCTTGATTCATAAGACCTGACAAAGAAACCCGAGGTCAGGTGAAGTAGAAAATACATAAATTATTAAATGATATTTTCAACTTTGATAACAAAATAGGGGAAAACGGAACCATTTAAAACATTAGAAAATTATATATAATAGAAAACAGCAAATAAAACCAAAGGAAGTAAAGAAGAATATGGAATGTATAAAAACAGAACCTCCAAATAAAAGTGGATATACATGGATGGGAAGAAAGAGAAACCTATTTCAATACTGGAGAGCTGAATCACTACCCATGTTCCGGGAAAAGATTAAAAGTAAGTGACATAAGAGGGAAGAGAAAACATACTACTATGTTTTCTACTATGTAAAAATTAGTATACTACTCCTACTACTACTACATTATTCATAGACCATACCAAGATATAAAGAAATATGAAATGGAAAACAAAATCTAATGTTACATAAGTGATAGCAATCTCATTGTGGTGGGACCAGTTTAGAATTAGGCAATATTTTACTTAATTAATGTCCCTTGGAAAGAATTGGAAGTAATTTTCCATAATGTTGAACATACCTTAAGCATCTCCATTTCTAAATCTTCATCACTCTCAATTACATAAGATATATCCTCTTCGTTATCCTTGGAAGACAAAAAAAAAAAATTTCAAACATTAATTTCCAGCATAATTGACTCCATACCCTCTTTTCCACAAAAAAAGGTTCCTATATGCTAAATAACTTTAGACTACTTCCTATTCTTCTCTAATAAATAAATTTATAATATATATTTATATGTTTATATGACAGGTAGATAGGAAGGGAGAGACAATGGTAGGGAGGAATAAACATAGAAACAAAGAAACAAAGAACCAAGATAAAAGAGAAAAAAAGAAATATAATTGGAAAGATAAACAAGATAGACAAACAGACATGAAATAAAGCCCACACTCTCTAAATGAGAGTACAGAGTGACAAACTCACCTATGGTTAAAAAAATCTCAAACTCTGTTTCCCCAACTTTTTGAGTACAAGAACCTGTTTGCAATCTTGAAAAATTCTATACAAAGCCAGGAACTACAGTTGTACTCTTATAGCCACTGATTTTTAAAAGATAAAAAAAAGCTACTATGATTGTAATAATACCTTTAAATATTGTTATTTTGCAAATAGCATCTACAGATGTTTGAAAAACAGGGTCAGATAAGTTATTTATTCAGCTATTGCCAATACCTGGTTATGACGAAACTACAATAACATGGCAATCCCCGCAAAACAGGTGTCCAAGGATAGAAACCTGTACAAAAGAAACCCACAAAAGAAATACAGAAGGACCCTCAAAAAAGGCTAATCTTTAAATTGGAAGTAGGAAAAGGAAGTACAGCCTTAATTAACCTGCAAAAATTAAGCTTTAAAGAAGATTTTAAAGTAAGTTTTATACAAGGAAAGAATCTTTTATTTTTAAATCATTATTTATTTGCCGTGTGGGTCTTTAATGAATTTTTAAAATGCTAATAATTATTACACAATAAAAAATGGCAATAATTGGAGTAAAAGTTGTGAGTCAGATCATGAAATCCTGATCACAATTCTATGTCACTGTATGAAACATATCACTTTAAAGTGAATAAGTAATACAAAATTTCTAGAAAATCAAAAGGTAATGCAGATGTTAGCAAAAGATATTCCCCAAAAGAAGAATCTGCTTTACAAATGGTTGGTATGAAAACAATGTTAAAATAAAGTGCATTCATATACTGACAGAAGTGATTACTAATATAGTTACCAAACACAGAGAAGTACTGAGACTCTGTCATTAGAAAACTGAGGAAATAATCCTATTAAATGACTTTCAAATCTAATTTTTAAAACTTAGTTATTATAAAAGAAAATGTATAAAATTCTACCAAATATAAGCAACAAAGGTAATTTTTTTAATTAATGAAAAACAAATGAGGTAAAAAGTATACAGCTATATGATGTCTCTTTTGTCTTTACAATAAAAGAAACACAATGATTCCTCCAATACAACTTTACTATTTCAAAAACTATGCTTAAGTTAGCCAACAGAGAAACATAATTTCACAAATTAAACTAATCAGATCAGAACATAATAATTAGAAACCTAAACATGAAGTTGAGAGAAAATACAGAATGTTTAACAATAATCTATCAAGAAAAAAAATGTAGGTTTCTGACTCTAGATGATAGTAAAGGTTAGTGTCAAGCAAAAACATCAGTTTATTAGAAACCCTCTCAGACTATCAAGTGAAGAAAACCCATATGAAGAAATAAAGCTGCTCTCAAAAATCAAGTTTGGAAGAGAATCCCTAGTAGATATGTAGGGAATCCACAAAAAGAAGAGGTATATATTAGGTAGGAGAAATGCTTAGCAAATTATAACAAATGTGTATTGACACTAAAAATCTTTCCACTGTAAAATGCTGCTTATTATAGTAAGTCAGGAGTAGCAAACCCAGTCCACTTTTTTCTTTTGTAAATAAAGTTTTACTGAAATGCAGACAGGCTATTTGTCTATAGCTGCTTTCACAATGAACTGGAAGAACTGGGCAGTTAAAAACAGAAACTGTGTGGTCTGCAAAGCCTAAAATATTTACTATCTGCCCCTCTACAGAAAAAATCAGCCAACCACTACCATGAATGAAAATTGTTTCTCTTTACTGTATTTAGTACCTCAGGAGATTTGCAAGTAACATCACCAAGATGTTTTTGCTGAGCCTGTTGTTCCAAACGTTGGAGTTCATCTTCTGTAATATCTAATGACATGAAACACACTCTTTCTGGAGTCTCTTCCAACTTATTATCTTCTAGTCCATCTTCAAATCCATCTTCTTCTTGTTTTACTTCGTTTGCAAGTACATTTTCTCCATCATGTTTAATTAAATTATCAGGTGTTGTGTCCCATGCTTCATCTGTAACTTTAGTAAAAATTTTATGTTCTCTAATGTGTTTCTGTTGTACTTCACCAGCAGTGGGCTCTTCCAACGGTAATAAGTGAAAATTACTGCTGGGCCTCAGTTCATTCTCAGTAGAACCAAGTATCATCTTCCTCAATGAATACAGATTTTCTGAAATATCCTTCAATAGTACAGAAACCCTAAAAAAATTTTTAAGAAAGGTGAGTTCAACTTTAATTGTGTTAACTCTAAGGACAAGTTTTAATGCTTTTTAAAAGAAGAAGATCTTCACTTAAAGGACACACTGGATTAAAGATGCTCTTCATACCCTAATACCCACTATATGCTTATAGCTTCTGGGCTACTCTCTAGTACAGCAAGGTACTTCTACATTCAACAGCTGACTTGCGTGCTTACTAAAGTGTCAGTAGTCTTTTGTCCCAAACTAATTGTTTATGGTGTCATTCCTTATCCATACCTGATTTTCATGTTAAGCAGATATCCAAGCCTGTCAAACTGTATTTATAAATGAAAAGCAAATACGCTCTGGATGTGGCCTCACGCAGTCCACTGGAAGTGCAGTTAAGTGAACTTGAATTCATGTTTATGGCATGTATTTTGGCTGTTCAGAGGCCTTTTTTGTTCTCCCCTGGTTTAGAAGTGTAATCTAAATAAGTGAAGTAATACCGGAGACTTTTACAAAGAACCTGAAATAAGAGATTTAACTAGTTTTTGTTTTGACACTAAAACTCCACAAGATATACCTTTATTAAAAATGAATCCAGGGACTTCCCTGGTGGTCCAGTGGTAAGGAATCCACCTTCCAAAAGCGGGGGATGCACGTTCGATCCCTGGTCAGGGAACTAAGATCTCACATGCTGCGGGGCAGCTGGGCCCGTGCATCACCACTACTGAGCTCCTGCGCCTCAACTAGAGAGAAGCTCGGTGTGCCACAGCAAAGAGCCCGCAGGCCGCAACTAAGACCCAACACAGCCAAATATAAATAAATAAATAATAAATATTTTTTTTAAAAAATGAATCCAGTATTCCCCATTCTCAAATTTTAAGAAAACTACTTAGCTTTGATATTACAAAGGAAAGCATTAAGCACATGTAATTTACATTCAATAGATATTCTAATCCCTAGAAAAAATCTGAAATGCATGTGAACAGTAATTTTTCATGTAAATGGTGATTTTTCTTCTTCCATGGAGGGAAAAATGTAAAAATGAATATGAAATAGAGTTATTAGTACCTTTCCCCAGTTGACAGTTATTTCTTTCAGAAATTCTCAAAGTTACATAAAAACTACTGAAACAAATTGCTAGGGGGAAAATCACTTTGAAAAAGAGCTGAATTTCTATCTCATACTTTGAAATCCATCAAAATCTACCACAAATCTCATCCAAAAAAGAATACATTAACATTGCGTTTTGTCAGAGTCAGAATTCTATTTCAACTAACTGCTTCACATTCATACAAAGGATTTTGGCCTCAAAATTTTATTACCACATTATAATCAATCACTGTTCAAGAGCACTCCTGCTTTTAGAGGTTTAACAAGGGAGTCATTCAGCAATTAAGGACAGAGCCAGGCCTGATTCCAAGAAGAATCAGCTGCTGGGCACCAGTAGTCCAATGTCTGTTAATCCAAATATCTCAAGTTATCTAATGCTTCGGCTATAAAATAGTCTTTAAAATCTAAATGCCTCTTGTTTTAACTGTCTGCTGATTAGGTAGACTTCTTTATATAATAATCACTTAATAGCCAGAAAAATGAAGCTACTAAAAGTTGCTTTTATTTATAGATTTCAAGTAACCAAACTATAAATATAATTAAATGAAAAATGAGCATAAACAGAAAGAAAGACAACTTTGAATCTTCAATATTTTCTTTCATGTGAACTTAGGAGTTTTAGTTTGCTTTGCTTCATAAAACATCCTACAAAGCAGACAGAAAAGCCTCAAACTTCTTGTGCATAATTTAACAATTGGAAAGATATTTCTCAGATTTATACATCAGTCTGTGTGCATGTATGCAAGCATGAGTCTACCCTAATGAACAGTAATTCTTCACTATATATAGGAAAATGCAATAAGAACAAACAGAATTGATAAAAACAGAAATATTTAACCTCTGTGGATTTTCCAGTTTTTCGAAAGTATCAGGAAGATGCTTAGCCAGACCTATCATCTCCTCAGAGACTGAAGTCAATTGTTTCTTCACGTCACTAGGTAGTACTTCTTCCTCTGGAAAAAAAGAATCAGTACTAATTTTCAAACTACAAAGCAGAGATATTTATTTAAACAGTATTATGGCTTAAATTTTCATGTTTCTTTAAATGAATTCCAACAAAAAGACTTCCTTAACCTATCTCCAAATCACCACAGTCACTTTAATTCCCTTCCAAATTTTTGCTCTTTAAAATTTTAGACTAAATTCTAAGTGATCTTCATTCATACATATTACAACCCAGTGGTTATCAACCTAGGCAGAAAGTGAAGGCAGAAATGAGAATCGGAACCCATCTGCACTATTTCAAAATCAGAAATCAATAAAACACCACATGGGAGGCTACATACTAAATACAGTTTGGTAAACATAACCTTACCCAACAGCCCTTCCTCACTGCCCTCATTACCAGTCATCACAAAATAAAATGCAAGCCTTTCTAATCAGTGATCATCTTCCAAACTCGCAGCTTCGTTCTGTCTGATGGGTCTCCATCAACACCACAAAACCTGCCCACCTTTCCCAAACCCTTCCCCTGCTTAGAATTTCTTACTCTTCATCACCACTTCTTGTATCCTTTACAAGTCCACCCAGCTCCTCTGAAGCACTCGACATAGATACACCATTAGCTATTCCTGCTTGCTGCAGTTATCCTGTGATCTCAAAATTACATAATTCCTTGAAGATTTCAGCACCTGGTTCACTGTCTCTTCCTTCCCTACTACTCCTGTGATAATTCCTGGTAACTTCAACATTCACAGGTAACTTGATAATTCCTGGCCACCTAAGAGTATGGCCTTTTCAGTTCTTCATTCCCTCCATTTCCAACCATCTTTTCCTCAACTGACCTCAGCCACTCCTTCCCATAACCATACCCTTTATTTTACAATTGCCAGTAAAGTCACCATTTCCAAACTTCAATTACAAGCATTCCATCCTCTGAACACCTGCATGCTATCTTTCTTTCCAACATGCTTTCCCCAATACAACAATTCTTTCACACTTTCAGAACCAAGTCCATTGACCTACCGCCTTTTCCTTACCCATTACCCTTGTCACTCCCCCATCACCCATGTCTTACCGTCCTTCCTTACCCATATTAATCATTCCTTCCTGTGGACTGAACTCTTTTGCTCCTTCCTTCTTCTATGGCAAAACACTACTCTAATCAAACCCACTTTTTTTACCTACTTGATACCTATACCCAAACAGTTGAAAATAGTTGAAAATAAAACACAATTATGATTATGACACTTTGCTTTAAATTCATGCACAGACCTCGACAAACCCTCAGTAATGACTGTTAATTATTCTACATTTCCCACACTCCCACTCCCAAGATGACTATTTCATACCTCATTCTGTCTCTTTAAGCCCCCAACACCTGCCTGTCCCTCCTTTTACTCAGAGAACAACTTTACTTCTTACTTCATTAAGAAAACAGAAACAACAATGAGAATTATCTTGTCTTCCCCCACCAATCTGCTGATTAGTCTGTATTCATATCACTACTCTCATTTACAGCAAAATTCCTTGAAAGAAAGAATTGTCCATACTCACTGTCTTCAAATTTTCTAATTCCATTTTCTCCTAAACTGACTCCCACTAAGCTTCTTCCAAAAACTGCTTTTAGAAAGGTTACCGACGGCCTCCACACAGTCAAATATAACGGTTAATCCTAGCTGCTCATCTCACTCAAATTCTCAGAGGCACTGAAAACAGATGACTTACTCGGACTCACAACATTTTCTTCACTGGCTTCTGAACACCACCCTCCTGTGCTTCCTCCTCCAACACTGCCCCTTCACAGGCCTCTTTGCTGCATGCGCCTCATCTTCCTGAGCGCTAGAGGTTGGTGTGCCCTTGACGTCAGTACTTGGGGGCCTCTTCTGTTCTTTATTCCACTCGCTCCCTATTTTATCTTCTCCGGTTTAACTACCATCTGCATGCTGACAACCGCCAAGTTATATCTCCAACCACCTGAACACACTCCAGAATCACGTTTCCAACTAAGATATCTCCTTGGATATGAATAAGCCTCTAAAACTTAGCATGGCCAAAACTGAAATCTAGATTTTTCTCACTCAAATCTGCTCTCCTCATAATCTTTCCACTGTGACTGACCCTCCCATTCACTCAGTGGATCCAACCAAAATACCGAGATTGTTCTCTCACTCTCTACATCTCACCGCCCACAGAGAATTTATCAGCAAATACATACACCCTCTATGGCTTCTCACCCCTCTGCTGCTACCAGCCTAATTCACACAATCATCATCTCTTTTTTTTTTTTTTTTTTTTTCGTTACCGCGGCCTCCCCCCCCTTGCCCC